ATGGACTCAGCTTTGGTTTAAGGATCCCTCAGTTGACACAGCTGTTGAATGCCTGGCCTCTCTGTGCCACTACATTGTCAAGGTCTCTGAGAACACAGGGGATTTAACCTTGAATCCTCAGAGAGCCAGGCGAGGTACTTTACTCAGGAAATGTTTGTTTAGTTAAACTGGGGAACTTTTTGAAGGGGAAGCTGACAGGGGGCAGGGGAAGTGATGGAATTCTGCTCCTGGGAGACAGGTCTTCAAATTAATGGATCCTCATCCAAATCTCTAGCAACTCAAATGATTTCTCCACAATATTCACCTTAAATGCCCACAAGCCCTTTGAGGATCTGAGGACTCTGCAATGTCTCTCTTCAGTCAGCTTTCTAGTAGGCTCAGGTCCTTTGGGACCTCATTTTTATTCTGCACATGATAAAAATTTGCCAGAGGCAGCAAGAAGGAGGAGCTGGAGGGTAGAAAGGTAAACACTAGCAAATGGTCTTATGATGTACATAATAGTTCTGACCAAGAGGGTCCCCTTCCCTGGCAAGCAGCCAGAAGGCTGCCCCATGTGCCCAGAATGGGGTATCAGCTCCATCTCAACTCTTTTTCAGCACGAGCATTCTCTTTGTGGTTCTTCCAGAAGGTAGGGCTCTCCACTGGCTCCCCATCTGCTGAGCACATGATGGAACTCCACCTGACTCAGAGTCTCTGACTCCTAGCAGCCCCATGTAGACCCAGACATTGGCCTTTGAATAGTTGGTCAGAGGAACTGCCCTATTCACCCTTGAATCACCTCAGACCATAAAAACTCCAGGGATCACTACAATAGTTACTCAATACTTCTGAGGAAGGCTTATCTCAGTAGAAAGAAAGGGCCATCTCTTCTGATGGGGCCTACTACCTGTGGCCTCTAGGTCCCGACAATGCAGAATGCCCTCCTCCACAATACCTTCAAGTACATGCCCGTCTGCAGTGCTCCCACAATCGCCACCACCACCATTACCTGTTCTCTAGGCTGGAGGTGGCAGAGTAGGGTTGCTTGGACCAGCAAAGACAACGTGGTCAAGGGCAGTTGGAGTTGGCTTGAGCTGGGTGGGAGCCCAGGGGAGGTGGGGACACAATTCCAGATCATACCTCCTGAATGATGTTTTAATCATTTCCAGCATGGAATGTTGTCAACCTTTGCTACAGACTTATTGGCTCTGGGTTTCTTTTTCTTGTCCCCGACCTACTCCTTACAAGGCAATATGGACTTGCTGAAGGAAAATCCGAGCAGGTTGTGAAAAGCTTTATTCCCAATAGCTCTAATCTTTGAAAATGTCAATCCGTCACCTGATTCAGCCCCCTGCTCCGTTCAGAGTTCTAGGTGACCTAAGTGTGTGAGGTTTGGGTCAGTGCATTGCTACACAATGATTTCTGCTTGTGCAGGTGAGCAAGTAACATTGTTTCTCATAAATTGGTACTTGTTACTTTTTTTATTAAAAAAATTTTTTTTAATGTTTTATTTATATCTGAGAGACGGCATGAGCAAGGGAGGGTCAAAGACAGAGGGAGACACAGGATCTGAAACAGGCTCCAGGCTCTGAGCTAGCTGTCAGCACAGAGCCCGACGCAGGGCTCGAACCCACGAACCGTGAGATCATGACCTGAGCCAAAGTCGGATGCTTAACCGACTGAGCTACCCAGGTGCCCTGGTACTTGTTTCTTTTATTTATTCTTTGTCTATATCTAGAGCTATAACAAAATTATATTGACTTCCTGGTGACTATTTTATACATATATAAATATAAATTAAATATATAAAATATTATATATATTTATAATCTCCAAGTACAAATGAAGAAAAGTTCAAAATACAGAAGCCCTTCAGGAAGATGCAAATTAAAACCACAATAAAATATCACCTTACAGCAGTGCCTGACTGACTCAGCCAGAGGAGCAGGCAACTCTTGATCTTAGGGTTGTGAGTTCAACCCCCCATTGGGTGTAGAGATTACTTAATAAGTAAATACTTTAAAAAATATATCAGTATGGCCAACTAATCTTTGACAAAGCAGGAAAGAATATCCAGTGGAATAAAGACAGTCTTTTCATCAAATACCATTGGGAAAACTGGACAGTGACATGCAGAAGAATAAACACACAAAAATAAACTCAAAATGGATGAAAGAGCTAAATGTTAGACAGGAAACCATCAAAGTCCTAGAGGAGAAAGCAGGCAAAAACCTCTTTGACCTCGCCTGCAGCAACTTCTTACTAAACATGTCTCCAGAGGCAAGGGAAACAAAAGAAAAATGAACTATTGGGACCTCATCAAGATAAAAACCTTCTGCATGGCGAAGGAAGCTATCAGCAAAACTAAAAGGCAACCGACAGAATGGGAGAGATATTTGAAAATGACATATCAGATAAAGGGTAGTATCCAAAATCTATAAAGACCTTACCAACTCAACACCCAAAAAACAAAATAATCCAGTGAAGAAATGGGTGAAAAACATGAATAGACACTTTTCTAAATAAGACACCCAGATGGCTAACAGACACATGAAAAAAAAAAAAAAGCTCAACATCACTCATCATCAGAGAAATACAAACCAAAACCGCAATGAGATACCCCTTCACACCTGTCAGAATGGCTAAAATTAACAGTTCAGACCATGACAGATGCTGGCAAGGATGCAGGGAAAGAGGAACCCTTTTGCATTGGTGGTAGAAATGCAAACTGGTGCTGCCACTCCGGAAAACAGTATAAAGGTTCCTCAAAAAATTAAAAATAGAACTACTCTACGATCCAGCAATTGCACTACTAGGTATTTATCCAAAACATATGGGTGTGCTGTTTCAAAGGGGCACATGCACCCCAATGTTTATAACAGCGCTATCAACAATAGTCAAAGTATGGAAAGAGTCCAAATGTCCATTGACAGATGAATGGATAAAGAAGATGTAGTACGTGTATATATATATATACAGTGGTATATTACTTGGCAACTAAAAAGAATGAAATCTTGCCATTTGCAACAATGTGGATGGAACTAGAGGGTATTATGCTAGGTGAAATTAGTCAGAAAAAGACAAATATCATATGACTTCACTCATATGTGGAATTTAAGATACAAAACAAGTGAACAGAAGGGAAAGGATGCAAAAATAATATAAAAACAGGGAGGGGAACAAAACATAAGGGACTCTTAAATATAAAGAACACGCTGAGGGTTGCTGGAGGGGTTGTGGGTGGAGGAATGGGCTAAATAGGCAAGAGGCATTAAGGAGGACACTTGTTGGGATGAGCACTGGGTGTTATACATAGGGGATGAATCACTGGATTCTACTCCTGAAGTCATTATTGCACTATATGCTAACTGACTAGGATTTAAATTTTAAATATAATAATTAATTAATTAATTAAAAATATATCACTTCACACCTGTCAGAATGGCTAAAATAAAAAAAGAAATAACAAGTGTTGGCAAAGATGTATTGAGAAAGGAATTCTCATGCACTGTCAATGAGAATAAATTAGTGCAGCCACTGTGGAAAATAGTGTGGAGTTTCTTCAAAAAATTAAAAATAGAAATACCATACGAACTGATAATTCTAATAATTCTACTACTGGGCAATCTACCCAAAGAAAACAAAAACACTAGTTCAAAAGAGACATATACATCCTTATATTTATTGCAGCATTATTTGCAATAGCCTAAATATGGAAACAAACCATTTATCGATAGATAAATGGATAAAGAAGACACACACACACACACACACACACACTACTCAGCCATAATAAAGGATGAGATCTTGTCACTGGTGACAACGCAGATGACTTACAGGATATGAGGCTCAGTGAAATAAGTCAGACTGAGAAAGACAAATACAATATGATTTCATTCATATATTTCACTCATATATGGTGGAATCTATAAAACAAAACAAAGGAATAAACAGACAGGAAAAGCAGAATCAGACCTAAAAATACAGAGAACAAATTGATGGTTGCCAGAGGGGATGGTAGGGGGGACGTGGGTAAATTGAGTGAAGGGGAATAGAAGACACAGGCTTCCAGTTATGGAATGAGTAAGTTATAGGGACGAAAGGGGCAGCATAAAGAACAGTCAATGACACTGTAATAGCCTTGGATGGAGACAGATGACAGTTACACTTGGGGTGAGCATCGCATAATGTATAGAGATGTTGAATCACTACGTCGTACACCTGAAACTAATGTAACATGGTGTGTCAGCTACATTCAAATATATTTTTAAAAAAATAAGAAAGCCCTTTCCCTATCCCCAGTCACCAATTTGCTGGTGTTTTTATTTAGAACCATATATTCATCACTCTGTTTTTGCAGGAACACACATTCATTGTACTGCTTAAATTTCTGTGTTAAAACCCCAAAGGTCCTGACTTGGACATTGAATGAATTAATCAGTCCATTCAAAGATGATTCTTTTCCAGCCTTAAGAGATCCAGAGCCAATACTGGGAAGAGGGTTTGATCTCCCAAACCAGAGGCACTTCATAGACTCTGTGCCGTTAAGAAAGGCCCAGCAAGGTGATGGCTTCCAGTACAATAGAACTTACTGTATTTTAAAAGTAATACTCTTAAAACATGACCGCTAGAGTGCCAAGACTTTTCTCTGTCCTCAGATAAGTGCACTTGCAGACAGGGAATCAGGATCTTTGCAAGAACCATGGCAGATTTAGACTCTGTCCTGTGTCTCTGGCTGGGTTTCGGAGCCAGGAGGGCAGCCCTTGCACTATCAAGCAACATGCCAAAGTTAATCATTGGCCCTGCTGAGTACATGGCAGATCAAGCTGTTTTTGTGTGCCTGTTTTTCTATTTTACGTAAATCACCCCGAACATGTTTGCATCAACCTACTGGTGATGCACCTTTGATCAATAGATTTTAGACAAAAGTGGTTTTTGAGTCCAAAGAGCACAGCTGGGTTGACCTGCAGACTGGATACAGGGTGTATAAAAACAGGGGCAAGGCGCAGGCTGATAGCAGAGCAATCACCACCTAGACTGTAATAACTGCAAGGGCTCCACTGAAGGCTGCCTGAGGGGCCAGGGAGTAAGGATGGAGAAAGGAATGAATGTCCTTCATGATTTTGGCATCCAGTCAACGCACTACCTCCAGGTGAATTACCAGGACTCCCAGGATTGGTTCATCTTGGTGTCCGTGATCGCAGACCTCAGGAATGCCTTCTATGTCCTCTTCCCCATCTGGTTCCATCTTCGTGAAGCTGTGGGCATTAAACTCCTCTGGGTAGCTGTGATTGGAGACTGGCTCAACCTCGTCTTTAAGTGGTGAGTAAGAGCCAGACAGAGGAGATCGGCAAGGGAAGAGGCAGGCATTCTCTCTGGAAATGTCTGTCCGTCGGAAGTTGCCTTCTCCATGCTATTCGGGGAACTACAGGTTACTCTCCTCCTGACTTTGGATCATCTACATAAAGAGGGAAGACAGAGAAAACCCTGTCCATGAATTGAAGATACAGGCAAGGCCTGTATCCATCATGTGGATGGAAGGCCAGCTGGACTTAGTGAAAAGTCTGAAATTCTAGCCTATAAGCAAGGAAGTACAGTTTATTACTTTGAGGCAGAATAGATAATGTAAATATTGATGTAGGAAAGAAGAAAGATGATGTATGAAAACAGGAAGCATGTAGATAATTTAAAAACCTATTGCATGGAGAAATGAGAAGTAACCCAGAGAACTGGGCTCCAACCCTTGTTCGGCCACCTACCAGCTCTATGTCCTGGGCAAGTCAAAGCAACTCTCTGAGTTTCTGTTTTATAATCTGTAAACTTGGGTTATCTCTGGGACCTTAATAATAATTCTAATTAACTTTTATTGAACATTTAGTAGGTACTAGGTCATATGCCAAGTGCTTTCCTATGGTATGGTTACTACTATATTACAGAAGAAGAGACAGGGACACTGAGTTAAGTGACCACAACTAGATCAACATAGTCAATGGTAGAGGCAGCATTTAAGCCCAGGCAGGCTGGTTTCAGAGGCCAGGCTCTTAAGAACTATGTTATATTCAGGGCTGATGAATTGACTCTCTCTTGGGGAGCAGGAGGAAGCCCTAATTTTAGCATTTGTCAATTTCTACTGTGTATATCTATTCCCATTGGGGCCATTTTCAATCTACTGATGAGTCAAACTTGCAAAAATCCTAAATATTTCTTAATTGTTAGTCGGTACCAGCTGACTCTAGAACATTACTGGCTTGGCCTCTATTTCCTCATCTAGAAAATAAAGAGATTGGGCCAGCTAAGACTTTTAACACCCTTAAAACTCTATGTCTACTGTCAGGTGATTCCGAGACCCTTTTAGCTCTAATGTTCTTCGGTCATAAACAATAAAAGTTCTTTAGGAGTAGGGGGAAAAAATCATCACAGAGCTCAGAGGCCCAAGGCATATTGATGCGGTTCTGAAACTTCTGTTGAAAAAACTAAGTTTTGTTTGTAATGTCCCCTTATTCAACAGCATGACCCTACAAAGTGAACAGCCAAAGAGTTATTTCAAATATCTAATCTCAGCTGAAAACCATAGATTTTTCTCTGACATCAGAGTTAGTGGCCATCTCTGATTTCAGTGAAAAATCACTATCCTACCTCTGGAGTGGCTGACCTTTGACACCTGTTTCCACAATGAAAAACGTATCTAGTAGTTTTAAAGGGGCAGTGGTTTGTCTGAAATGCCTTGTTCCAAAGCAGAGAGGATGCAAGGCAAGCATTTGTAGCTATATATGTCCTTACAGAGAAAATTCTTATGACAAGGAGGTCAAGTCTCCTGAAGGTGCTTGTCCCTAGAATGCTAGAGCACATTCTCTGATGTCAGAGGAAACCCAAGACTCCTGGAGGCCTGATGAAAGAGAACAGGGCCCTAGAAAGATGTGCAAGTCCAAGTTGCAAACTAATTCTGTATGCATCTTTCCAGACAGATTCTTAGTAGGGTTTTTAAAAAAAGTCTTTACTATTCATTACAATCCATTACTATGGATTTTTAGGATCTTGGATTTATTTATTTCTGTTTGAACACATAATACATTCAAATATTCAAAATTCAAAAGTTACATAAAGAATGTATCAGAAAAAGCCTCTCTCCACTACCGCTCTCCAGCCACCCAGTTCTCCTTCTTGGAGGCAACTAAAGCTAACAGTTTTCAGTTTAGGATCACATGAATCTTCTCCTCAAACTACTCTCTCTTCTCAAAGGTGTGGGCTTTGAGCAAAAAAGGGTTCTTTCGGTCAGTCCAGATGCCGGGTCTGCTTTTTTATAGGATTCTCTTTGGACAGCGTCCTTACTGGTGGGTCATGGACACCGACTACTACAGCAACAGCTCCGTGCCACTGATAAAGCAGTTCCCAGTCACTTGTGAGACTGGACCAGGTGAGAGTCCCAGCCCCTGTAGAGATGGAAACTGGGTGCATCTTGCTTACAGTGGATACCCGTCAGTATTCATTGTAGATGAAGTTGTCTTTGAGGGGACCTGAGGAGAGCCTTCAAGCTTTAGTCATGGTCTTCAATTGGGTACATCTCCATTTTTATTCAATTCAAGAAGGCCTTCTGAATACCATATTACTGCTACATTAGAAATCATCTAAGAGGGGTGCCTGGGTGGCTCAGTCGATTAAGCAGCTGGCTTTGGCTCCGGTCATGATCTCATGGTTTGTGGGTTTGAGCCCTGCATCAAGCCCTGTGCTGACAACTCAGAGCCTGGAGCCTGCTTCAGATTCTGTGTCTTTCTCTCTCTGCCCCTCCCCTGCTCATGCTCTGTCTCTCTCTGTCTCCCCAACATAAATAAATGTTAAAAAAATTTTTTTAATCACCTAATATTTCCAGAACATAAACTGTTAGTCCAGAGAGGTAAGGGCACTCTCAAGGGCAAAGAATTCATGAAGGTAACTGCATTATGGTCCTTTGTCCAGGGAAGGAAAAGCAGTAGAAGCCTGTGCCCCTGGCTATCCTTCTCCAAAGTCTGGTCAAGTAGATCTATCTTCCTGAGCTGACTCTCTAATCCTACACTGTGCTTGTACTTTACTAGTCACAACCAGCCAGCTACTGTGAAATCAAATGATAGATTTCCTTTTTCAGTAGGTAATGGAATATCCAATTCCTTTGCTCACCCTTAAGTCTTGGTGCTAGCATCCCTTCCTCAGGGTCCCTATCCCTGACTCCCAAACTAGGGCGTGGACCTTAGTTATTTGTTCTCATAAACCCTTTGTTCACTTCAGAGCATATTTATTCATTCAGATATTATCTATTGAGCACCTACTCTATGCCAGACACTATTCCAGGAAGTTGGGTTACCCCAGGGAATAAAACAAAGATTCCTGCCCTTTGTGTAGCTAAAATTTGAATGATGCGTTGTGTGTGTATGCATGTAAGTACAGTATACAAAATCATAGTACATAAGTAAAATATACAGGACATTAGAAGATGATAATGAAGAAGAGAAGGAAGAAGAATAGGAGGAGGAGGAAGGAGAAGCGAAGAAGAAGGAGAAAGAGAAGAAGAAGGAGGAGAAGTTTGGGTGGATGGATAGAGACGTGCCTTAGCAGTCTCGCAGATGGAGACTGTTCACCTTTAGTTCTTCTGTTCATCTCTTCCCTCCCCTTTAGGAAGTCCCTCTGGTCATGCCATGGGTACAGCAGGTGTATACTATGTGATGGTCACATCCACCCTCTCTATGTTTCGGGGAAAGAAAAAGCCAACCTACAGATTTCGGTAAGAACCCAGCACTGGGGTGTGGGTGGTGGAGGGCAGGAAGTGACTCTCTTTGTAAATGACACACCACTTGCTCTTCCGCATGATCCCCACACCTAGCCCACCCCATCTTGGGTTGGCACTGAACAGAGTTGTGGCATTTCTGCCGAGGCAAACATTAGAGTCACAGAATGTCAGGGTTGGAAGAGACCTATGAGAGCAATGCCTAATTTTACAGATAAGGAAACAAGGCCTAACATGGTAAAGGAGCTTCTCAAGGTCAGGTAGTGTAGTAGTGGCAGATTTAATATAAAAACCCAGTTCTGTACCAACCAAAGAGTCGCCTTGTCCAGGTTAAAATAGAAAGAGAAACATAAGGCATTCCTATTACAGTGAATTCTGAGAATGCAGGCACTGTGCAAATGCTTAATTATCAAACATAAAATAGTGAACATTCATATACATAAGGGTTCACTATGTGACACCAGCATCTCTGAGCTTTTGAGTACAGGCTTCAGTTTATAAAAATTCCACTGACTGTACCTAAGTTTGCCAGGCTCTAAGTGTTCCTGCCAGAGCTGTTCTTTTTGCTGAAGGATCTGTATCTGGGTTGTGTTAAGATTGCCTCTTCCGTTGCAGGTGCCTGAACGTCATTTTGTGGTTGGTATTCTGGGCAGTGCAGCTGAACGTCTGTTTGTCCCGAATCTACCTTGCTGCTCATTTTCCCCATCAGGTTGTCGCTGGAGTCCTATCAGGTATCAGCAGCTCTGGCTGTTTCCCTTCCTCCCCCTCCTGTCCCATGTCTCCCAAACCAGGACAAAATCCCAGCATTCCAGCCATGTTCTGGGCATAAGCAATGCTGTTAGTATTTCAGTGGGTTGAAAGTCAAGGGTGGGCAACTTGAAACTATTCATTTCCGTAGGAGTGCCCAGATCTACACAATTAAATATGCTGCAGAAAAGTTGCAATACGTCAAGTCAACTTACCCAATTGGATTAATTTGAAATTTCCTTACTTTAAAACAAAATTTGTTAATGTTTATTTATTTTTGAGAGAGAGAGAGAGACAGAGGGAGCAGGGATGGGCAGAGAGAGAGGGAGACACAGAATCCAAAGCAGGATCCAGGCTCTGAGCTGTCAGCACAGAGTCCGACATGGGACTTGAACACACAAACTATGAGATCATGACCTGAGCTGAAATCGGACACTTAACCAACTGAGCCACCCAGGTGCCCCTAAATTTCCTTACTTTTTATATTCTTTATGTCTTACTGGCCTTCGAATGGAAATGGCTCCCAGTTTAGTTTTAAAGGAATCTAGTAAATTAGCAGTGTCCTAGCAAAGCTCTTTATTTGGGTAAATTAATTTGCAAACTCACAGGCTTTTTTTTTTTTTAAATAGATTCAGAGTTTTTAATACAGTTGATACTTGAATGATGCAGGCATTAGGGGCATTGACACCCACCCCACACACACACGTACACACACTCTGAAAATCCACATATAACTTTGACTCCCCCAAATTTAACTACTGATAGCCTACTGTTGACTGAAAGCCTTACTGATAACATAAACGGTCGATTAGGACATATTTTGTATGTTATATGTGTGATATCCAGCATTCTTACAATAAAGTAAGTTAGAGAAAAGAAAATGTTACTAAGAAAATCAGCAGGAAGAGAAAATACATTTACATTACTGTACTGTATTTATTTTTTTAAACCTGCATATAAGGAGACCCCTCTAAGTCAAGCCCGAGGGTCAACTATACTTCTGTCTTCTTAGATCCCGTTAATAAGGGGCAAAAAAGACTGAGGTAAAATGTAAGAAATCATTTCTTTACTTTGTGGGAGATACTGGAATATAAGACCTTAGGGAAATTGTAAAAATTTCCCTCTGCAGATGGGTAAGAGCAGAATACAGTAACATTACAAGAAGAGTGTTGAGTACAAGGGAGCTAACAATTTCATGACAGCCATAATAGTAATGTAGCGTTTAGTACTGGGTGCCATGTTTGAGGAAGAGCCTAGAAGCCATGTTATATGAAAGACCTAAGCATGTTTAGGTTAGAGAGGAGAAGAGCTGTCTTCAAATGTGTTAACAAGGCTCTAGATTTACAATTTAACTCCTATGGAAAGAACTGAGACCAACAGATGGCATTAGAGGGGGCCACATTTCAGCTTAGCATAAGGAAAAACTTTTAAAATAATCAAATCCATTCAAGGACACCTGGGTGGCTCAGTTGGCTGAACTCTGGCTTTTGATTTCGGCTCAGGTCATGATCTCACGGTCCCTGGCATCAAGCCCCAAGTCAGACTCTGCACTGTCAGTGCAGAGCCTGCTTGGGATTCTCTCCCTCCTCTCTCTCTGCCCCTCCTTCACTCATGTTCTCTCTTTCTCTCTCTTTAAAAATAAATAAACATTTTTTAAAAATCTAATCTATTCAAAGATGAAATGGGCTGCCCAAACGGGAGTGAGCTTTCCATACTTGTGGGTATTCAAGTAGAAATATGAGGACTCCCAACAGGAAACATGCATGAAGTAGGAGAATGTACGTGACATGGCTTTTCCATTTGAAAGAGTCTATGGCTGAGGACAGACTGGAGTTACATATGGGAATAAACCAGGCTGCCCTCTTTTCTAGCATCTGTGATTTAATGCCACAATGGCAGGATGGATGATATGTCACCCATTGCTCCAAACCCATGCACAGCTGAAGGTTCAGAGTCTTCCCCTATTTCTCACTGTCATTCTTTCTTCCACTCAGGCATTGTTGTAGCCGAAACCTTCCGCCACATCCAGAGCATCTACAATGCCAGCCTCAAGAAATATTTTCTCATTACCTTCTTCCTGCTCAGCTTTGCCATTGGATTTTACCTGCTGCTAAAGGGGTTGGGTGTAGACCTCCTGTGGACACTAGAAAAAGCCAAGAGATGGTGTGAGCGGCCAGAATGGGTCCACATTGACACCACGCCCTTTGCCAGCCTCCTTAAGAATGTGGGGACCCTCTTTGGCTTGGGGTTGGCTCTCAACTCCAGCATGTACCGGGAGAGCTGCAAGGGTGTGCTTAGCAAGTGGCTCCCGTTCCGCCTCAGCTGTATCGTGGTCTCTCTCATCCTCCTGCACCTCTTTGACTCTTTGAAACCCCCATCCCAGATTGAGCTGATCTTCTACATCCTGTCCTTCTGCAAGAGTGCCGCGGTGCCCCTGGCCTCTGTCAGCCTCATCCCTTACTGCCTTGCCCGGGTCCTGGGCCAGCCGGACAAGAAGTCTTTGTAAAGGATGTGGAGTCTTCGGTATTCAAAGTCAATGACTGTGCCAACCATTGAGGATGGCTAAGATCTTCTGCCAGCCCGTTTTGAGGCCAGAGGTGCTAATCAGCTGAGAAAGCCTTGTCTGTTAAAAGTTGGGTCGTTTTGGATTTTTCCCTGAAGACTTGCTTGTTCTTCTTTTAGATGTACAAAAGCAAGACTTCCAGGAAGGGCCAGCTCATAATCCCGGGTGGGGGACCCCAACTGAAATTTTTGTTCCGGTCCCCATCCTTACCCAGACAAGGGAAAGGAGCAGTGAATTAGATAGGGAAAGAAGGATGATTAAGGAAGGCTTTTTAGGATCTTGCATATCATGCAGCTGATGTTAAACAATATCTAAATGGCTTTGTTCATATTTGAATCTTTAGGTAAGGGACTCAATATTGGGGGACCAACTTAAAGTCTAATTATAGGTAGTTAGTGAGGAAATTCTGCTTCTTGCATTTTTCCATTATATACCTATGGTCATTGTATTGACGAGGCTTTCTGAATGACCACAGTGACCTAGATTTGTACTAGGTCAGCACATTCAGGTATAGTCAGCTTCTCCTCTATCACACTAGATCTTTCTCCTTGTTAGCCCAGCTCTGCTTTCCCTAGAACTTTCCACTAACCCCACATCCTGCCGGATTCTCAGATGCCTAAAGGCAACTCTGGGTAGTGCTTTGTATGGTTTAGTGAAGTTCCAAGATCTTGGGCAAAAAGGTGAGGAGAGGGCAGGGAGAGATAAGGATTCCTCTCTCCAGAAGGTCACTCCAATGTTACTTTTGATTCCTAGAGGGTAAATATGACTCCTTTCTCTATCCCACGCCAACCAAGAGCACATTCTTTGAGGAAAAGCCAACTCTTCCTTGCCTTTTCTTCAGTCTCAGTTGATTTGCAGAATATGCCTTAAAAAACGTTAAAGTCTATTTATTTGAGAGTCCTTGTTTTTGCTACTAATTATACAGTTTGCCATCTATTACCATTCACACCAACCATCCTGGTCATCACATCTTTGAAAAGAAAACTATATATGTGCAGTATTTTATTAAAACAACATTTTATTTAAGCATGAAGTCTTACTGATTACTATATTTTAGATGCAATGTGATCTGAAGGTTCTAATTCTGGCTCAGCTAAATTTCTAGCTCTTTCTCTATTTCCCTAAACAAATAATTTAGTTTCTGTGTACCTATGTTTTCCCTTAGGAGAAAGAAAGTCTTGGGCTGGCTAGGAGTCCCAGGAGAGCTGGGGGACATGTGAAGTATCCACGGGGGATAGAGAGAGTTGAGTACATCAACATAGGTACAATGTAATTGGCCAAGGCTGACCATTGGTTGCCAGACCACAGGTCAGCATGAGTTGTCCTAAGGGATCAAAATGCAACTTAAAGGCAAACAGGCAGGATCATTACCAAACTAAGCAATCAGGGGAAGTAAGTCATAGCAGCAGAAGAAGACGGGGGAGACGCTGGAATCCAGTAACCCAGCAGCAGGAAGCAGCAGGGTTCAGCGTTATAGTTAAAGAAAGTCTAAACGGAGCAAGTCGAAGCAGCAAAGATTGCTCAAGGGGCTACTTCAGTTTTCTTCCCTAAGTGATCAATTTCATCCAAGGTACAGGGCGTCTCTTCCAAAGGCCTGAACTCATGAGCATGACCCTGGATCTACTGAGGATGAAATCTGCTCACTCGCTTCAGAACTTTGGAATGTGTATGTTTAAGAAAGCTGAGTCTTCCTACTGGATTTGGGCACAAGGCCCCTCAGAGACTCTAACTGTCTTACCTAGGGAGAAGGCGTATGTCTTGTTTCCTCTAAATTGAACCCCATTGCTCAGGCATCACCCCGAGCCTTGATGATTTCTTCATTCTCAGGGACCAAGTCCAGGTTCCTCACTTCTGACAGAGAGTAAACAGTGCCCCTGCCTCAGGCAGTTGGTGAGGTTGATAAGGACACACAGTAGATAAAATTTTTTTGATCTATTTACTTCCTCTATACCAGGCTCTGTTCTATGCATTTTATTTATTTGTGCAAGTAATTCACTTAATTCTCCCAACATCTCTGGGAGGTGGCTGCTATAATTTACCCTCATGTTACATATGAATAGCACAGAGAGGGTAGGTATCTTGCCCAGAATAATGAAGCAAAGCAAACCATCTCAGGGAGCCTGGGTGGTTCTGTTGGCTAAGTGTCTGACTTCGGCTCAGGTCATGATCTTGTGGTTCACAAGTTTGAACCCCACGCCAGGCTCTGTGCTGACAGCTCAGAGCCTGGAGCCTGCTTCGGATTCTGGATTCTGTGTCTCCTTTTTGGTCTGCCCCTTCCCTGCTTGCTCTCTCTCTCTCTCTCTCTCTCTAATATAAATAATAAAAACATTAAAAAAAAAAAAAAAGAACTAAGCCATCTGACTGCAGAGTCCACGCTCCATCCTGTAGCCTCCTCATGCTCGTGGATGCTGATGAGACTGGCAGCTGTTTCCATCCTTCAGATGCCAGATACAACTTTAATTCAGTCCAGGGAATATTTGCTTTCATATGGTCAAAGAAATTCTAAAATTTAAAGTGATCCTCCCAGTGAGCTAGAATTAGTTTGCAAGTATGAAGATACCATGTTTCAAAGGCAATTTCACAAAATAACTATTGAAACAGGCATAACCATATTAGTTTAACTAGCCCTTTCTTTAAAAAAAAAAAAAAAAGTTGGGGTGCCTGGGTGTCTCAGTTGGTTGAGCAGCCGACTCTGGCTCAGGTCATGATCTTGCAGTTTGTGGGTTTGAGCCCCACATCGGGCTCTGTGTTGAAAGCTCAGAGCCTGGAGCCTGCTCTGGATTCTGTATCTTCTTTCTCTGCCCCTCCTCCACTCCTGCTCTGTTTGTCTCTTTCAAAAGTAAATAAACATTTAAAAAATTTTTAAGAGTTTGTTTTTTAAACTTTATTATTGGGAAACAGAGCATGATGCGGGGCTCGAAACCATAAGCACTGAGATCATGACCTGAGCTGAAATCAGACACCCCACTGACTGAGCCACCCAGGCGCCCCTTAAAAAGAGTTTAAAAGTCATTCTCAGACTATTTGGTCAGACAGTAAGCGACTTGCTATTTCTACAACTGAGATAGAACAAGAAGACATTACCACAAAGAACTTTTGGTATAGATCTCTGTAAAAGGGTAGAAAACAAAGAGATGTGGTGAGGACTGTTTAGGTCAGAGAATCCCCAAATACGTGATTGCTGTCTTACTTTGGGATGGGCAAAGTCGAGAAACAAACAGTGCCAAAGGCTCTGTGAATCTGTGATGGGTAAAAGCTGAGCAGAAAGAGTTCATACTAAAGATCAGTTCATACTAGCCAACAGCCAGTGCGTTAGCACATTCTGATCGCAGACCACCTGTCCACGTTACAGAGGTATGTTTGCTTTAGAAATGACTTTGTGGGGGGCTGCCTGGGTGGTTCCATTGGTTAAGCATCAGACTTCAGCGCAGGACATGATCCCCCAGTTCGCATCAGGTTCTGTGCTGACAGCCAGCTCAGAGCCTGGAGCCTGTTTTGGATTCTGTGTCTCCCCCTCTCTCTGACCCTCCTTTGCTCATTCAGTCTCTCTCTCAGAAATAAATAAAAAAACATTAAAAATTTCTTAAGTAAAGAAACATTAAAAAAAGAAAAAATAAAAAGAAATAAATAAGAAAAGAAATGACTTGTGAGTCCTCAGGATGGAAGTCGGTGTAAGTGACCAAGACAGATTTGAACCAAGATTCATGTCATGTTATAGCATAATTTGATAGATTGTCTATTAGTTTTGAAGAGGTACATTTGGGGATCTCACACACACACACACACACTATACAATTATATTATTGTCCTAGGAAAACAGACCCGTTAAGAAAGTGCAGCTTCTGCTGCCACGGGCAGTGCTACTGCACCACAGAGAGACTACAGGCTGAGAGCTTTTGTTCTTAACAGAATTTATAATAGTTTTTTTTTTCATTTGTAACAACTTTATTGATATATAATTCACGTATCATACAATTCACCTATTTTTTTTTTTTTTGAGAGACAGTGCCTGAGAGAGCAGGAGAGGGGCAGAGAGAGAGGGAGACAAAGAATCTCAAGGAATCTCAATGCTGTTATCGCAGCTGAAATCAAGAGTCAGACACTAAACCAACTGAGCCACCCAGCGCCCCTCATTCACCCATTTAAAGCGTACAATTCAATGGGTTTTAGCATATTCAGAGAATTTTACAACTCTCACCACAAATCAATTTTAGAATCTTCTTGGTCACTCTGTAGAGAAACCCCGTGCCCATTAGAAATCACTTCCATTTACCCCCACTCACCCAGCCCTACGCTACCACCAATCTACTTCCTGTTTCGCAGATTTGCCTGTTGCAGACATTTCATATCAATGGAATCATACAATATGTGACCTTTTGTGCCTGACTTCTTTCACTGAGCATGTTGCTTTCAAGCTTCATCAGTGTCGTAGCATGTATGAGTACTACATTTTACGGATATACTAAATTTTGTTGATACCTTCATTAGTTGATGATATTTGGATGGCTTCAATTTTGGGGCCATTATGAATGCTACTGCTGTGAACACTTGGGTACAAATTTTTGTGTGGATGCATGATTTCTCTTCTGTTGGGTACATACATAGGCGTGGAATTGCTGCATCGTACGGCAACTCTCGGTTTAACCTTTCAAGGAACTGCCAGACTGTTTTCCCAAAAGGCTCAGCAAGGGAAAGTTTTACAATGTTTTTGTTTCTGCCTTCTCTTTGGATTTATGACTCCGAGAAGCGTACCCTGTTTGATAGCTTTGTCTAATTCTTTACTTTAGAAGACTTTCACAGCAGGACTGATGACTTGCTCAGATTTTACATGCTGAAATGTCAGTGGGCTTTTGCTACTTTTGTTGGCAATGGCTTTATTGTGACAGCATGCATTCCAGGATCATTTCATTCGAAGACATGTCCGGATATTTGAAGTTCCAATCAATCTACTGGCTGGTTGTAACTGGTGGTTTGTCAAAGTCTGCTGACTCGTTTCCTGAACACCGTTACTTTAGCTGCTGAATTATGAATATTTATTGATCAGGCTCTATAGTAATCACTGAACAAGGACAGATGACTTTAAGGGCCTGTATGTGTAAATAAAACAAGACAATATCATTTGTATCCAAGGGTTTTTCAAGAGCCTCTCGAGAATGGAAAACACTCTGACCAAATAGGCTTCAGATGATGTTGTTAAGGAAAGAAATGACTAGAAAGGGTATGAAGCAGCAGCTGACAGAAGTCACTTCCATTAGAGAACCAAGAACCTAATTAATCTGGAAGAGAACCTAGCAATTGTCTAGTCTGGTGATGGGCAACCCAAAACCCCAAATCTAACTTCAGAGTGAAAGATTAAAAAGCTGCCTCTGGAGCAAACCAAAAAAGCAGAAACCCATAAATACAGAGAACAAACTGGTGGTTTGCAGAGGGGAGGCGGTGGAGAGGTGGGTAAAATGGGCGAAGGAGGGAGTGGGAGGGACACTCTTCCAGTTATAGAACAAATAAGTCGGGGGATGAAAGGTATAGCATAAGAAATATAGTCAATGTTGGGGCGCCTGGGTGGCTCAGTCGGTTAGGCATCCGACTTCAGCTCAGGTCATGATCTCATGGTTTGTGGGTTCCAGCCCCACTTCGGGCTCTGTGCTGACAGCTCAGAGCCTGGAGCCTGCTTTGGATTCTGTGTCTCCCTCTTTCTGTGCTCTTCCCCCACTTGCACTCTGTCTCTCTATGTCTCTCAAAAATAAATAAACGTTAAAAAGAAAGAAAGAAATATAGTCAATGTTATTACAATAGTGTTATATTGTGGGGCGCCTGGGTTAAGTGGCCGACTATTGATTTCAGCTCAGGTCAAGACCTCACAGTCATGGGATCGAGCCCATGGTTGAGCTGGGCTCTATGCTGACAGTACAGAGCATGCTTGAGATTCTCCCTCTCCTTCTGCTCTTCCCCCACCTCAAAATAAATAAATAAACTTTTGAAAAACAGTGTTACATGTTGACAGATGGCAGCTATATTTATGGTGAGCAT